AACCTGAAGAGGAGAAATTATTGAAAAGAATATTCTTCGTTCACATTGACTTTTAGTCAAGTTTAAGTTTTACAGTGCTTTATCACCTACGAATTGACAAGAATCAGTAGGATTCATTGAGAGAAAGAGAAGAATTCACGCACTATGGTAAAATATAAATCCGTCAGAGGATAATTTTATTTGATGCAGTATTATTCCCTGATGGCATTTTGAGCACAATTTCTGTTACTGGTGAGAATCATCATATCAAGATCCTATGTATATTATCTACTGCTATTATCCTCATTTCACTTTGTAAACTGCACAAATGGAATTAACTGTGCCTTGTTTCTGAAAATTCGGAAATTTATTTGCCTTTGTTAATTTGCTGTTTTAGAAAAATGTATTGTTTTCTCTGTAGTTACGTAACCAACCTATTTTGACGTGATACTCATTCTAGTCAACGTTTATTTCTACCCTGAACTCTACTGGTCTAATTACCCTATAGCTACTCAACTCAATCTTTTTAACTCTTAATTATTTAACAACGTGCATCATTCCGGACTTCTTGTTATCGTGGGAAAAGTATGTTTTAACCCTTAAGTGCAATTTATTTATTTTTCTTTGTATTGTTGAGGTTGTAGCCAGTTAAGAAGAATCCTCGAAATAACAATAATAATAATAAAAGATAGGCCCATTTAATCCTGTTAAATCTATCGTTCCTGCTTTGTTCAAGATTACTGATTGGAAGAATTGTATGAAATTTATATTTTGCCCACTATTCAGTAGTGTTAGGAGAAGTCGTTGAGAATAAAACTCCTTTATTTGAATAGTTTCAGCGGAAAATAATAGTAGTATGTTTTTGACTGGCGTTCACCGCCTGTCAGATGTAAAATAATGCCACAGGATCGACACGTATGTAATAGTAGAAATGAAATAGTAGTCGACTGCATGGAATGGTTTTCTTCGGATATAACGTCAACCCTTTATATGAACCGCATGTTTCAACTCGTATATTCCTCCCGTGTCATTCATCAGGTTACATGTCAGTGTTTATGTATGTAAAATTTAATGGCCTACTGATGTGTCTGGATTCACGCATTGAGTGCTAACAACGCGCACACACAGAATCTGCTTTTACCATAGTTCAAAAACACAAGTAATTTGGCTTAAAACTTAATCTGTTTCTCTGGCATACATCAGTAGTACAGATACAATATAAAGGTAATCAATACAAAACAGTTGTTCTTCAAGCATTTATCAGAAACACACTAAACAGCCTTCATGTATGAAACAAAATATTTCGTGTTACTTGCACAAAAGTAGGTAACACTAACAAATGCAAGGCATAGTTACTTCTAAAAGATGTATGTTGCTACATAAGAATAACTAACGACACTATATAACAGTCATAGTCGGCCATACAAAAGTGATTTTTGGTTGGTGAGTTGTATCATAATTTTCACCTGCCTCTCCTGGGCAACTACTGAATTGTAACTAGCATGCTACTGTGAAACGTGGGATTTAGAATCTGACATCTACTGACTGTAAGTCAACCGGTAGTATGCAGACCAACGTGGTATAACTTTGCTATTTTTATTTTTATTATTACTCTAATTTTTATTTAAAACAACAAGTCCCCTTCACGAATTTCGACAAAACAATAAAACGACGTTATTTATCTGAACAGTGTGTGTATTGATCACACGTGTACTTGTTGTAGGAAAATAACAAGGTGTTAAATGGTGAGGGGTGGGGTATGTGAGAGAATAGACATAGGCAACCAAGTTAAAACAGCTATACTGCAGGTCAAATTAGTGACAATGGAGATCAAGAAATCAATAAGGCAGATAATAGTATATCTATCTGCGTATAAAAACAAAGTTTATCAATGAAGCGTTTAGTGTGATGACAAATCGTTGCTTTGAACTCATTAGGGTGATTTAAACTTCCTAATTGTTATGGCTTACACCAAACTTTAGGATACGCGCCAACACGTTTCATGGATAGGTCTGAAAGATGTATAAACATCAATTTTATGTTTTATGCATCTATAACATGTGTCTGAATAGAGGAGCTAGGTCGTCGTCGTCTGTTATCACCATTAATGGGTTCAGGCGATTTGATTTTCTTTTGAGGCTATTTGGGGATACCTGCAAATACATTACATAATTCAGCTAAATTTCGTCGTCTTATGGCTTTGTAGAAATGTATGAGGACAACTGATTATTATTGTTGTATGTCAACTTACAAATGACTATGTGTGTCCGTCCTTCAGTGGTAGAATGCTCACCACCCACCACCATGCATGCATGCGGTCCAGGTTCGATGATCATCGGCCGATGTATGCATTCCTAAACGTCACCTACTTAATTGGTCGATAGTAGGCCTAGAAAAGAGGGAAGCTTGGATGAGAGAGTAGCAACCCTACTCCTATAAAAGCATCAATCTCGCTAATCTAAAACTTTAAGGCTTATGTTCCAGTCGGAAGACAGGGTAATGAGAAAAGCCGTAATACAATAAGTTCATTTGACCTAATACGCAGTGGCACAGTATGATTAACTGGATTACGTTCCCTGAGTAATTTATTGCTCATAATTCATATCAAGGTGATTATACAGCTTTGAGATTTAGTTTATGTAGTTCCATTATTTTAAATCCTTTGATTTTACTAGGTAATAATATCTCTGGTCTAACTGTCTCATGATTCCAGTTGCAGGGGGTATGTGTAGACTCATCCGATAGGAAAGACGTAACACCAATACCAGACAAATTATTAATATCAGCAAAATAAAATGCTGAGGAATAACGGAACTGTATGAAATAAATTAAAAAGGATTGTGATCACTTTGGTATGATTATGAGTAATCAAAGGTGTACGGAGCTGTCATCCATTTATAAATATTGTATCACTTGTGTTATACCAAAAATAAAACCATCTTATTATGGAATCATTTTACACCTATGTGAAATAAATTATACATGTTCGATATCAAGGAATCCCATCACTTTAATGACTGTAAGAGTAGAACACGAAATATAAAACATAAGGAATCCTACCATTGTCCAAATCATTTTAGCAATGAATCCCACTATATTCACTAGTTGTTTTGTCGAAATTCGTGAAGGGAACTAATTGTTTCAAGTTCTTACTGGTGTTCTAAGCGTCATTCAGAATAAGTTTATTAGAGGTTCTGTGTCCATATTACTGTGAATGGTTTGCGATAACTATATGTTAAGAATATTATCGTAATTGGTGGTGATTAACTGAATAGAATTTAATACTTCAGTCAGTGTGTAGATGTTGATTTCTTAATGGTTAAAGTGTAAAATCGATTGTTAGTGATGTCCTCTTCATGCATATTTCTCTTGTTGTTCGCAGGTCTCAAGAATTCATCTTAGATCTTATCAGTGGATGGATATATAGTTGCATGTTGTGTTAACGCTCATGTTTCTAAAGAAAAAGTAACCGTAGTGGCAAACGTTTATCGCCTTGTACAAGTGACAAGTGAGACAGTGATCAATCGAGTCCAAGATACTGTTCTCAAAAGACGAATTTCCCTGATATACACTTTGGGCTAACTATGCAAACTATACTATTCAGTTAAGGGATCACCATCTAGCTGAACTAACCTACAACCCATGAGTAATTCTTCCTACAGAGTTCAGTCGACCACTAAATTTTCAGCGCAAGTGGTTGTGTCGGATATGCTGTTAATTGCATGACAAAAATATCTAACACTTATGGAGTACTACATTTCTAATTTTATTCGCATATTCGATAACATTCACTTCGAGAGTTTAGCCTGCCTGTCTACAATGTAAATTGTCTGTGACTCAGGATGAATTTTGAAAACTGATTGTCAATAGACTGTGTGAATCATCTTCAAGTTGAAGTAATTCATTATTGGTTTGGAACTACTCCACAGCTTTGTTATTAGTTCCATTTATCATTGTGCAATTCAATACGTGTTTTTTTTCTTTGAATTTCTTTTCAGTGATACATTTCAGCTTGCTTGTCTCTGTAGTGTCATGAATTATTGATCGCTCTTCCGAAAGGGTGACATCTTCTGAAGGTTCGATGATGAAAACTAGTTGTTTTCGCCGTATGTTGAAGCATACAGACTAACTTGGTCATCCAACTATGAGCTATTTATTTTGAATTCTCACGACAGAAGTCCGCTTGAAATATCGTGAAGCTCTGAAAGCTCATGCAAAAAAGGAACTTTTCTACAATTATTCGATGTGTATTGGATGTGATCTCTCTGTAAAGGGTTAGACTTAATAAACACTTTCATCATTGTATTTTGTCTGCTACTTATGTTGCCTTCTTTCACATCTCACAAACTCATAGTTCTAATTTATTCGACAGTATCTTGTGGCATAGTATATTACGTAACAATTGTATGCATTAATAATAATACAATCGATAAGAAGGACTAATGATGCTTCTACCTGGCTAATAGATCGTCTTTCAATCTCATGACCTACTAACTCGCTCACTGACTAACTAGAAATCAAGTTCGTGATCTAATGAGCCACAGTTGCACTTAACTTTATTTATTTCCTCATTCAACTAATTAATCTAATTTCTATTCAAGTGGTGGTTTGTAGGGATTTGATTGGTTTCATGATTTCATCATGAGCTGACATTAGTTAGAGAACCATTGGAAAACCTGGAAGTACTGAACAGCTGTTTCGTCCTAGTTCGGGACTCTCTAGCAGTACGCACCCACCGGGATTCGAACCGGAAGGTCCTGGGTTGGAATCGCGGTGGGTGGGTACTGCTGAAGAGTCCCAAACTAGGACGAAACAGCTGTCCAGTACTTCCAGGTTTTCCAATGGTTCTCTAACTAATGTCAGCTCATGATGAAATCCTAATCTAATTTCTCTTTTCATTTTAATAAAGTGTTTTCTCCGCTGATATTTTGTTTTCTCTAAATTCATTTTCACGTAATCTCGTTCATCGAAATTGAATTTTTTTCTCAAGTTGCTTTAGGAAATAATGATTATGATTAAATATGAATAATAGTTTTATTCAGTTGTACGCCTTGAGGAGAATAGGGTGTTCAAAAGATCAATTCTTCATTGAATTTTTAGTGTTTAGCATTTTTCTAGGTTATACTGGTGAAGGTAAAAAGTCATCTATTCTGTCTATACCAAGTATGGCTTATTGTCTGAGGCAATCGACTTTCAGTCAATGGATCCTGGGGTTGAGTTCAGCTTCTACTATTTCACTTCAACCGCATATAAGTAGTATCACCAGTCCTCATGTAGTAGTAGGTTCGATTTATTGCTGGGTTTAGGAGAAGTCACTTCTGACTACTAATTGAACATGATATCTATACTGACTGGTGTGTGTAGACCAACATGGGGTAGTGCACCTCCCAGTGTTTTAAAGCGTAAACATCAGGCTAGGCTCGAACACCATTTAGTTGCTTTCCCTCCTTGGGTGTATTAATACTTACAGGTCCGAGTTTGCAGTTCAGACAGCTTCTAAATTCTTTTCCCTATTCTATTCAGATGTTACTGCTCATCAGATCATATTTCTAACTAATTGAGTCTTTTCGATTTGTGTTTTGTTGAGAGTAGTTACAAGCCAGGCAGAGTGGAGTACTGATCGATTGGGTAATTAGGTGTATTACGCTTAGTAAAGCTAATCAGTAGTAGCACTACTAGGCAGCTTATAGTGGTATAACTCTACAAGATATCAAAACAAGTGATTTAGCGAAGAAGAGAAGACGTTCAGCGAGGAGACTCTTCTCGGCGAATTCATTCACATAGCTGTACAATCGCATTTATGTATAATTATTTGTGTGTGTGTGTGTACATGAGGTTTGTCAAGTTTAGATAATTGATCAGGTAATACAAGAATGATCTAATCCAGAAACAAGGTTAATTAGACATCAACTAAGGTAAGATTGAGTTAGTAAGTTAGATGACGTAATACAATTGACTAAAATGTTTCAACTTAGGTCAGGGTGGCAACAGAGGTAATTACAGGTAGATACTAAGTAGAAGTAGGGTAGAGAATAATGTCATTTAAATTAGAACTGGAATTGTGCAAATAAGTTGGATGACGTAACATAAATGACTAGAAATTGAGCGTTGGTCAAGTCAGTAACAGTGGTAAATGGGTTGGGGGTAGAGAAGAAGAAGGTTGAAAGTTTAGCGAAGAGACTCTTCAACAAATTGTTATCAAGCTGTACACATGTATATGTATGGTTTTTTGTACTAAGAAATAATATCCGATAAGGGAATCGAACCATGGATGTGAATACATGAAATAATAATAGTAGTATGAAATGCAATTAAGATGTTTGTGATTACAATCATAGTTAAATATCAAGTGGCAAAACAATCAGTGTCATATATAGAACAATTCATAGGATGTATAGAACTTGGAATGGATGTGAAAAAATACGATTAGTATGCAAGTAGAATGAAAATAAGGAAGTTACGTAACATTCTGTAAAATTTGATAAGGGAAGTGCTACATTACAAAACAAAATTGATTTAGAAGGACGAATGAAATAATACGGAGGCAGATCAAAGTGAGAATAATAAAAAAAATGAAAAAAATAACTGGAGCCAAAATACGGATGGGGATTTTCATACTTTAGCATAGAGGAATGACGACCGTGGAAGTTGGGGGCGGTAGGTGGGTAAGCGAACTTTTTCTGTGTACAGAGCTCTAGCTTCTCTATTTCCATGGCAAAAGCTCCAGCAGCTTGATAACAAATTCGTTGAGTCGCTTATTTGATTCTCCATATGTCCCAATGTGAATTTTCCATGAATTAAAAAAATATCAAAGATCCCTCTACGAGATGTACAAATGAAATTATTTGTTTATCTTTCAAGATTGATTTTCTCATTGATATCCTGCCTTTCAGTTATTGACGTTGACAACAATTCATGGATCATTATCATTATAATTACCGCTGTTTGATTTTGGGCTTTGTTTGTCTCCTTGGTAAGATGACAGTTGGACAACAGTAAGATTTCTTCAGCTTCTTATTTCGCATTTTTCTCTTACTGTAACGACGGAAGACAAGAGACTTGGTAATGGAATGTTTATTTGGAATTTGATATCGCATTACAGCTTACCTTCAAATCACCATTTTTGCACATATTTTACGTGTTGTGCTACTTCTGTCCTTCATATTGCGTTTCTTTGTCTTCTTTTCACATCTCCCATGTATCTTCACAACGCTGAATTATTTGCTTTCTCTGATGTCAAATCTATCTCCATGCTGCTTGATTTTTTTATACCGATCAAGGTCTGTTTATGTACTACTTGATGCATCTTATCAGTAGCAAACGTCACATTACAATCACCAAGGTTACTACTAGCTTTGTTGACGTTAAACCTGTATGATTATTTCATATCCTTCATACTTTTTTATATTCTATGTACAACAGGGATAATAAATTTCGACTATTTCAAATGTTCACCTTTTATTATTTTGTTTTTCGGTGTGTATAGATGACAGTTTAATTAAAACAGTTGACGTGGTCGCCAATTCTATAATAAATTTCTTCATTGTTTTAAGTCGCTACTCCTAATCCACTTTGCCAGTGACCTCCGTTTTACTTCCTAATGCTTTCAGGTAAATGTAGTGGCTGTAATAGTAGTAGTGTAACAGCAGAAGACAAGGGCCAGGCAACAGATCGTTTATTAAGGAAATCAACACGTATTTGTAGATTTTCATGTGCATATTATAGATTATTGTTAGCAGAAAAACACAGTTTTCTGATTGGTTGTTTCTCACTGAAAGTTGATCTTTCATCTGTTTATGGCTGTTTCTTGAATGTCAGATGATCTATATGCCAACTGTATCCGCCTATGCAAAGCCTTTGTTCTCATTTTCTTCACGACCAATGTTGGGGGCATAAACATTGACGTAAATCACTGTCCATCAATTTTGACTAACAGCCAGCTCTCACCACAGTAGTACTGTTACTAATAGTATTTGTAACAGTGCTATTGATTAACAGTATTAGAAATTGTAGTTATTGTATGACTTGTAATATTGGTTTCAGTTGATGTACTAGGCGGTATTAGTAATATTATCTTTAATGGTATAGCATTTTGACCTATATTGGTAAAACATTGTACTGAATAATGCATGAAAAGTACATGTGTGATCGAAATGTACGCGATGTGTTGCGCGCATATACACTCACTACACACATTTCAGACTCCCCAAAATGTTTTTGTTTTCCGAATTTCTTAGAGGAATTTCCAACTTGTTCTCTTGCTTTCAATAAACCTTTAGGCCTTATTAGAATATTTGGGTGCTTCTGGCACATCCGAATCGCCTTATACAACTGCGACTCTAAATAACAACCTTCCAAGATTATTATGCTGCATTGTACAATTTAGCAGACTAAAGCCCTAGTGAAACATGATTAATGCCTTCATTGTTAGTGGTAAGGGTATCTGAGATAGCCTGGTTGGGTTGATACAGACTGCTACTGATGTATGTAATGGGTGCTGTGATTGTGAAAGTGAAACGGAAGTCTTAGCAGAGTAGGCAGATTCATCAAAATACCAAGTTACAGGTTACTAAATGGATCTTATTGTTGCCCAGCTGATAAAATATCGGACTAGTAATTCAAAGGCGCTTGTGGTTTTAAACCTGATTCACTGACTCGATTTAAATGCGAGATCACCAGTTTTTACCATTGAGCAGGCTGTTTCAACCCAAGTAAGGTATCTCAGATACTCTCCTCATCAGTTAACAACCTAATCCTTGCCGAATTCATTCATAATATGATTTGGATTGATAGGGGTTCGACGTGTCTAGTCAAATATATATACACACTGAGTAACAAATTATATAGGATGTCTGATAACTAGAGGTATTACATGACTTTGCAAATCTCAAACAATTAGAAGGAATTTTTATTCGTTCATCCATTGGTTAAAAGCAGGTGAATAAGTTGATAAGTCATCCATTCCTTAAGCCAATCGAACAAATCTATAGTGAAATTGTGATATGGTAACTTGAAAAAAGTATCATTGTAAAATATTATTCCATGCAAAGGAATTGTATAGGCGTATTTATAAGCGTAGGTGGCATAGCGGTTAGGACGCTCGCCGACCATGCCCATAGTCTGAGGTTCGATCCCCGGCCGACGAAGCACTCCTTTACCTCGCTAAGCCAGAAATAATGCTGGTTAAGAGGAAAGGTTGGACATGAGGCTAGCAACCCCATCCTATAAAATTAAACACTGCTACAGAAACTTGAAGCCCCATGTTCCACTGGGGAACGTGAAGGAAAAAAATAGGCGTATTTATAAATAATCGTGTTTCAATGTCCTGCGTAAAAGTAACACATCCAGTTAAATATTAGTTGCTTTGCCAATCCACTCGCCTGTTTCTCCCTCTCTCACACTTATCTCCAGCTAGTCACGTAGCTTTATTCGTTATAGTGATCTTATCTAGTATTTTAGATAATGAATAAGCAAAAGGTGAGGAGATTAAAAGCACCTGTAATCATCACTCTTTCATGTATACAAGAGAAAAAAGTGAGAATGATGAAAATAAATGAAGAATGTATTATATCGGTAGATATTGTTGATTCGATAAGTCGATAAAAAGGGTATACTCTCTCAATTGAGTCGTCCAGGCCTACTAAGCATAGAACATTCAACGGTATGTCAATAAAACTTGATGTTAATAAACATTTGCTTCAGCATACTTTGTTCTTACAACTTATATCTCTCCTTTGGCCGCACTTTTAATGTTTCCCCATGTATTTTTAGTTGAATGATATTAAGTCAATTTAGTTTCGATAAAAAAGTCTCATCTCTACAAAAGTATGGAAGTATCAGGTTGAAAGATAACGAGAATTGCTGCAATTTTTTATTTAGTGCAGGAAAGAATGTTGAAACATTTGGAAGATGTGTATTTACATTGCTTCCACTCTCCTCCTCCTTGTGGACATCTTCACCACACTACAATGACTTTAATATGAAGTGAACTTCTGCATGGACGGATTTGTTCAACACATAATTTTATATAGGTTAGAGAATGAAAGGCAGACGTTGGAATACAAATATAGAGTTCATTTGGTTATTGAAACTTAGAATGAAAACCACCAGAAAAAAAAAGAAGCAAACAAAATGAAGTAGTTTTTCTTTCTTAAAATTTATTACTAAAAATTCACTTGTACAGGTGCATTGATGACTAGAAGTGGTTAATCGCACGACGATGTGCTCATACACTTACTGGCAAGCGTATGAGCATTGCACAGAAGCAAATTAATATAGGCAAAACAATAAAATTACAACATACAGAAAAGATAAAGAAGAGTTGACTGATCTTCTCTTCATAATATTGTCTAAATCACAGTACAACCGCCTTTCTCTTGAAATGGATTATCCTTTTTACTAGCGAATCCAGAGACTAAACAATCCTTATCTCTATTCTGCTCCATATAAACAATCATATCTTGTACACATTCTGAGACTGGACGACGATTTATATTTGCTTCCTGTCGAAGTTGTTCAACTAACTTTCGTTGTTGACTTAAAGTAGACATTTTTTATTAAAACACCTATGGTATTGAAAAGAAACCGGAAAGAGAGACATTAAGAAAATGGAAAATTGAGATGTGCTTGCTTACTGAATTTATTTTATTATTAATTTATTCCTTTACGTTCCTAATGGAACATTGGGTTTCAAGATAGAGACTTGAAGTTTCGGTAGCATTGGTCTGTATTTTCTACGGGATGGAGTTGTTAGCCTCATGCTCAACCCCCTCACTTCCCCAGCCGCATTAATGGCTTAGCGAGGCAGAGGAGCGTCTCGTCGGCAGGCGATCAAACTCCGAATCACATGCGTGGTTGGCGAGTATTCTACCGCTATTCCACCGACGCACAGTTTATTGAATATCTATTCTTAATATAGTTACATATTTGCTTTAAACAACATTAATAATCAAAGTTGCATCCAGTATTTAATTTGTCGCATTGTTCAATGTCCAATGTAGAGGAATTCAATAGTAAGACAGTTTACTAAGTAGAAGTGCTACCAGGAAGGTACAGACAACACACATTATCTCCACAATGAGTATTCAGTAATAAAAATAAGAGAAACATGACCTTCTTTAGATTGACTTCTGATGTTGAAACACTTCAATTGTGTAACAGCATTTCCACGTCTAACTGATCAGCCTAAATCTAAGTTGCATATAACCTGAAAACTATAACGTAGACCTGGATATAAGTGTGTTTGTCTACAAACTGGTCAGTAATATTTTCACTAGTGACTTTGACGACTCATTTTTTCCGAGCTAATATAGTTTAATCACGGGGCTTTCAGAATTATTCTAGGCAATTTGCATAATTAATTAAATACGGAATTCTGGTAATCTCATCAGTGTAAATTAGAAAGTGTAGATAAGCACACTCATCGTGCTACTGCCAATTGTCAACATTCATGTGATGTGATCAACAACAGTATAGCTTAGAGTTGTGGATCACTGACTAAATTCAAGGAACACAGAAGGAATCTGCCAGTAAACTGATTTTGATGCTTTACTTATCAGTGAGGAGAGTAAAACAGGAAATAGTGTGTGGATTGAAGGGATTCACCTTCTTCGTGCAGTTATAATTTGCTTATAACAGACAAATTAAACAGTATATTGATAACGGGAATTTAAATTGATGCATTAGCATCCGAAACTCTCTGTTTACTTAACCTATACTGGTCTGGATATCAATACAAGAAAGTTTAAATAATCTTCACAAGGCAGTTGTGTTCCTATCACAAGGCTAAGCAATGCTCAAATTCGTTGACATGCTTACAACCATGACATTGTGTCCTTTTTCTGGGATCGATCTCTGTAGGTATATAAGCGAACAATATTGTTTACAATTACATCTTCAGGCTTCACTCCAAATTTATATATAAAAATATTTACTAATATGGTGATTTTATGGATCGAATAATAATAATAATAATAATAATATAGTAAATGTTTTGAACGTAGTTAATAACGGTGAATATAATGATGACAAAATATTGATAATAAGTCGTGTGATTACAATTGATATGATTATGAACAATAAATTTTGTTCGAAACGTCATCCTGTAAATAATACTGTTTTACTGTGTGATATATCTAATAAACAAACTAATATGGAATTATTGATAATAAGGTTTATGCAGGTGGCGATAAGAATAACAAAGGAGTAATATGTCTATTTCTAGACAATTCAATAAATAAATTAGGTCAAATCTTAAAGGTTACGTGATACTATAGGTCAAGTGAGTAGATAATCAGAGTTTAAATAAATATCATAAAAATACGAATAGAATTCGCCTAGGCCAGGCAAGGAGGAGACAAAGGCAGGACAAACTTCTTTTGTATGCAAAGACTAAGATTGTTCTCTCGAATTCTCATAGCTTCAGCTATGTGTATAAAAGGTGGGTTCCAATTCCGTTTGTAAGGTCTGATGGAATGCGATAGATAACTTTGAAGGCACTGCATCTCTTCACTTGGTGACCACTATCACCAATCAAATGATTTACAATAAAACTTCTAATATATTTTGTTTGGCCTTTTTCGAACCATGGAGGAAGGTGCTGATTAACACGTTTGTTGAGGTGTCTAGTTGTTCACCCTATGCATAGCTTTCTCCGCTCAATACCTCCATAAATTTTGACACGTAGTGGGGCGATGTTTAACAGTGCTTTAGTTCCAGATGGCAAAATGAATCATGATATGAATAAACCCGTTCAATACACAGTGGTCATCAGAGGTTTAGATAATAGGAAACAACTTAAAGATTTTCGTTATGTGCGAGGTTCTGATCTCGTCATCTAAAACTTCTCATTAGCCTTTGATTGCGTGGTGGATTTCACCATGAGTTGACATCAGTTAGAGAACCACTGGAAAACCTGGGAGTACTGGGCAGCATGATGGCCACATTGAAAACTCGACTGATAGAATTCAGTCTACACCAAAGATAAAACTAGATACATTCCACTAGCTACTACCTAGTTTCCTGAGTTCTAATGAGAAGTCGTGATCAGTGGGGTCCATCCTGTCGGGAGTGATGACAAATGCTCACCACAGATAACATGGGCTGGTGCCAGTCACAATAAAGTCACGAATTGGTAGATGGTAGAATTCATGGACTGGTCATTGTATCGTGTTCCGTTTGTGGAATGGTCCACGAGCTTGCCTTGAAACGAGTAGGTCTAGTGTTCGAACCCTGGTGGTATGTGCCTACTGCCAATGAGTCCCAAACTAGGATGGAACTGTTGTCCAATACTCCCAGCTGGTTTTCAATAGTTCTGTAACTGATATCCATCCGTGGTCAAAACTTGGAAAATGACTCAAATACTTACAAATCAACCCTTGAAAATATCATATGCATATTGAAACATTTAACTCTTTGATACATTTAAATGAGACACTGAGACGACAAATGCTGCGAAATGATACCACTTCATACGGTTACTCTGCAACTGTCACTGTTCACAAGCATGAAATAAAATGTTTGAAAATTGTTCACTTGTATAAAATAAAGCTACATATTAATACCCGATCGTGTTTCAATGGGTCAAATAATTCATGGTAGGCGAAGGTTGAAGTCTATTGTTTTCTGTACACATATACTATATAGGATGCATATGATTAATTCTCAAAAGTGGTGCTTTCATCACCTTTAATAACTTTGAATTGAAGTTACGTGAAATAAACTCATAAACAATGATTAATTCACCTACAATAAACAACCAGACATGAATAAAAGAATAAAAAGTTCAGCGAAGTGTGTCTTTCTGGCGGGGGATTCATTCACTTAGCTGGACAATCGCATTTATGCATAATTATTTTGTGTGTGTGTGTGTACATTAGGATTGTCAAACAAAAATAAGACAAAAATTAGTTAGGTTACTGTTTACGTCATCAAAATGTTTCAGAGATGTGATGAATAATCAAATTGTAACTATAGCGGTGAAGGTGGGGGTGGAGATGAAGATTGGCAAGTATTAACAAGGGTTGCGTCATATGAGAGACACCTCGAAAAACAGGATGTTAATGAAAGAGCATGGAGACGCGTGTCGAAGATAAGTTATGCAATAGGCAGAAAGAGTACATGAAGGATTACTTAAGAACAAGATGTTAGTAAGAAGTCAAAAATGGCACTATTAACAGAGTAGTGGATATTGGAAGCATACCCATGATAGAAGGAGAGTGTGGAGGAGTTTCTTCGGATCTCTAAGGCCTCTTCAGTAATGAAGAGTATACGGAAGCTTACCGTTTTCGGGAGACTTGTTATGACTTTGTAGATGACTTTGAATGAATTCTCTTTAAATATATTTCCGAGGAGGCCACAGTATTTCAGATAGATTACAAAGACTGAGATGGTTAGGACATGTGTTACGTATGCCAAGCCATCGCCTCCCTCGACGAGCTATGTTAGCGGATATAGGGTCAGGCTGGAAAAAAGCTAGCGGCGGTCAAACAAAAACTTGGCACCAGTCAATGAAATCCACAACAGTTGTTCTAAGCCATGTAGGAAGGTGTAGACTTCCAGGCTGGGATCCTCGGGACGGTAAAACTCTATGGTTGGAAACAATTGGTGACATGGCTCAAAATCGTTCTCAGTGGCGCAGATGCATCCACTCCCTGTGACTTATGATCTCCAATGAATCTGTTTTATTCTTCTTTATTACTCCTTTGTCTCACACCTCTGCTCACTGTTTCTATTATGCTTTTCTTGTACTTTCTTCTCTTGCTTCGCGTGCTACACGGAGTGTGGCGACTTGAACTTCCGCACATTTGTGCAAAGTTCTATGTCGAAAACAGACAGACAGACAGACTTAATATATGCCTCCACCTGTTTCATTTAGCATATTCGTTATCTCACTATGAACCTTAATTGCAGTCTTACTACCTCCTGTTTGACACAGACCACTTTGTACTAGCCACTCACCTGACACCTTTTATAACCTTGAACTGACTTGTCAATTTTCCTACCCCACACTCTACAAATCTATTATCATTAATCACCACTATTGTCTCCCGTTTTACAATATTTTGTAATCGATTTCAGCCTAGCACGTTTGTCACACAAATAAGACTATTTATTTTGACACCCCGTAACAAATAATCTGTTATTCTACATTAAAAATGTATCCACGGCATAACAGGCCTCTATTGTTACGACCACAAATATTATATTTCATAATTGTAAGAACCTGAATTGAAATTATTGAAAGGAATATTTTTCGTTCAGATTGACTTTCATATTATAGTTGTCTAGCTTTCCGACCATGCCGGACGACTAACAGGTGGGATGATTAACTGCGGTGTCAGGAGAAGTACAGTCCAAATACACTGAATACTGAATATTACACATAATCAATCTCCTATACGACTGCACTCGGAGTCAACCAAAGCCACCACAGGGAAATGGTGGGACAAAATAAGCAAAAACTTACCGACGACTAGGAACCTTCACCTCGTAAACAAGTCAACACAACTGACTAATAGATATTAGTAACAAGATATGTTAGTTTCAAAGTAGGGGTGGAAATTCATTAATTACGGAATTCAAGAGGAGTTAATTCACAGGCCTTAACAACAAGTTACTACACAACCAACAAATCTGAAAAGTAACAATGATGACCAAGAAGAATGGGATGATGATTTAGAGGAATTACGTAAAATACAAACGAGTTAAATATTCCCATAATTTATTCAGAACAAAATATTTAGAGCGAACAATTGTTTTCAATAAATTCTTCTTCAGGCTCTACAATTATAAATCCATTAATGTAAGCATACAATAGCCAGTAAAGGCGAATTAGAATCATATCAGAAAGTGTATTGTAGAACAAGTAAAAGATGGGATGAAACAATAGTCATATAGTCATATAGTTTTTTAATATGCATGGTCAATAACAACATGGGACAGAATGAGATGAAATAATTTAATTTAATGATGTGTGTATATATATAAATATAGTTAACAGAAAATACAGGTTTCAAGAGTGAGTGTAATCAGGGTGTGTGAGGCAATATGAAAATAAACCAACGAATGGGGCGGTCTAGACTTAAGTTCAAGATTGAAAATAACAACAATAAGAATGATTGTAAAATAATAACGATGATATGGTGTAAAATTAAAATTAAATGTACTATTGGTGAATGATTGTCAAATAATAATAATGAATATAATGAAGTGGAATGAACAGGATTTATAAATACGATAGCAAGTTAGAAAAGCACTATTTAAACCTAAGGTAATAAAATCATAAGAAAGGTCATGAAATCATAAAAGTCGAAAATGAACGTTTGTCAATGAAACAGGGGAATAGAAGAAGGAAAAGAAAAGAAAATTGTGAAAGGAATTTATAGTGTTAATGGAGGATTTGTTGGCTTTATTGTAGAAAAAAAACTTGGACGGGTCAGTACACCCATTTCCATAGTTTCACACCGATTCAGCATAAAAGAAACTTAGTTAAGTGTCTTAGCTACAGAATAAAACGAATATGCTCAGAGGAATGCATTAAGGAAGAAATGCATAAACTAAAACTCACACTGCAAGAAAATGGATATCCACAGAGCTTCCTAAAAAAGTATATGTCAATACCTATAGACAGGGTAAAGGTGGATACCGTAGACAAGAAACCTTTGTATCTTAAGTTAAGTTACAAAGGGGAAATTGCAGCTGACATTCTAAAGTGTCGACTCAATAGAGCAATAGATAGAACATTTCCCGCAGCTAAATTGGTACTAAACTTCTCAACTAAACCAGTACTCACACAGCAAGTAAAGGATAAATTACCAAAGATGGCCTCATCAATGTGCATCTACGAATTCAACTGCTCATGTGGAGCTAGTTATATTGGCCGTACTCAGAGGGCTTTATCCATGCGCGCACGTGAACATGTACCTGTATGGTTGAGTAAAGGAGTAACCAAAGGCATAAATAGTGCAGTCTTAGCCCACTTGGTAGATACTGGACACCCGATAAAACTTGACCAAGCGTTCTCAGTTATTTACCGCGTTCCTAGTAATTTATCTAGAGGAGCTCGACTACGTCTTCTATCAGTAGCTGAAGCAGTTGCAATTAATACCAGAAGACCATCCCTCTGCATACAGAAGAAGTATGTTCAACCTCTATGTTTACCTTGGCCTACAATAAAGCCAACAAATCCTCCATTAACACTATAAATTCCTTTCACAATTTTCTTTTCTTTTCCTTCTTCTATTCCTCTGTTTCATTGACAAACGTTCATTTTCGACTTTTATGATTTCATGACCTTTCTTATGATTTTATTACCTTAGGTTTAAATAGTGCTTTTCTAACTTGCTATCGTATTTACAAAATCCTGTTCATTCCACTTCATTATATTCATTATTATTATTTGACAATCATTCACCAATAGTACATTTAATTTTAATTTTACACCATATCATCGTTATTATTTTACAATCATTCTTATTGTTGTTATTTTCAACCTTGAACTTAAGTCTAGACCGCCCCATTCGTTGGTTTATTTTCATATTGCCTCACACACCCTGATTACACTCACTCTTGAAACCTGTATTTTCTGTTAACTATATTTATATATATATACACACATCATTAAATTAAATTATTTCATCTCATTCTGTCCCATGTTGTTATTGACCATGCATATTAAAAAACTATATGACTATATGACTATTGTTTCATCCCATCTTATACTTGTTCCACAATACACTTTCTGATATGATTCTAATTCGCCTTTACTGGCTATTGTATGCTTACATTAATGGATTTATAATTGTAGAGCCTGAAGAAGAATTTATTGAAAACAATTGTTCGCTCTAAATATTTTTTTGTTCTGAACAAACGAGTTAGGTAGAATGTTAAGAATTAACAAAGTCAAAAGGTTATAAGTTATAAGGGGAGGGGAAAAATCGTTTTTTTCAGAAACTTGTTACATATTATGTAGTTGGTCGTGGCACACCTGATTGCATTGTACCTTTCAGGTAGTCCTAATATTAGGCTGTATTCCCTCCTATTATTGTCAGATAGTTTATCGTTGAAAAAAATTTAATCAAAATTTATTAATAAATCTCTTATGGCGTAAACTAATAAATCCATTTTTTAAAGTTTATTGTGCTATGTGAAAGGTTAATTGTTAATGCATAAATACACATGGGTCAATCATTAATTCTTCATGCTTCCGTTGATATAATATACACCGCGATCTATCAGAAGTTAGAATCCATCGGTTATTGAATTCCATCCCAGTGGTTGAATGGTATTCGAGCTTGTCTCACAGACTGAAGACCCTCAATTCGATCTCAGGCGGAGTCATGGGTGCGTACTGCTTGAAAGTCCTCAACAACGACGAAGCAGTTATCCAATACTCTCTGGCTTTCAATGGTTCTCCATAATGGAGTCAGCTTGTGATCACTCTTGGAACTAATATATACTTTAAACATCGCCAGACTCAGTGAAGAAATATGTCGTAAACTACAGAATTAGAAATATCATTCAGCAACCTTATAGAGTTGGTGATTATTTCCTTACATTGGATTGTAAACTCATTGGAATCATATTTTGTAATAAGTCCATTACCAATATGCTAATAATAATTAGGAGTAGGAGAGTCCAACTCAATCCTAAGTAGTCAATTATTAGTTAACGCCATCATTTATTGTCCCCAGCTTACGTTGTACGTCGGTGATGCAGTGGTAGGATACTTGCCATCTGTGGTTAGATTCCTGACTGACGCACTTCTAACCCATAGAAGAGAAGGAAGGTTGAGCGTGAAGCTGGTAACTGCACCCAATGAGAACAGTGCCAGCGCTAATGAAATTTCGAAGCTTAGAATCCCTATACTCCACTGGGAACAGTGATTAAGTCCTGTCTGACAATAAACTTTTCAAATATTTAAAGAAATTACTTCTAATAAAGTTAATAGAACTACTAACAGTTATCTACTTACCTAAATTCTTTTCAGAGGGCTCGAGAAAGGCAACCGAATGGTAGGAGAATGAACAAAAACTGCAATGTTCACCACAGTGATCAATATTTTTTTTTAACTAGGGAAGAGAATAATTTGTTCGTTTATCATGGTAGCTGTTATAATTCTCCGTATTTCATCCTACAATCAATAAGTAGATGGGCATGATGCGGGTTTCTGATAGGCAAATTCCAAAAACCTGTAAGACATTTATGTGGATAATTAAATTTTTCACCAATCGGAACACACCGTATAACCTTAAACTCGATTTTGATTGGTCATTCCATTTTATTCCCTTTCATAACGATCGATTTTCTGATGACCCTGTACTGTTTGTTCATTTTTGTCTGTTGGACTAACACGACACTGAAAAATGTCTAGAGTTAGTGGAGGGATTTTCTCGTGCGTGTCGTTTCATTCTCTAGCTCTTTTAACGGAATTTACTTCATTCCACCCATCATGCATAGTATTTGTTTCTCATTAATATTTACGAAATTTTTCTCTTCATGTTGACGCATAAAGGAAGGACAAAGGTTTACACCCACTCTTACTTTGTTGTGAAGCAAAGCAAACAAAAGAAACTATTAACAAAACTATTAGGGTATTAATTCCTTCCAAGTTTATTCTGAACGTCAAGCAGAAGTGTATTTATCATTCTGGCGAAAAAGCTTTTCACCTTCATCGTTGTAAGGTTGGGTTGTTACTTCTTTGAGAAGTTTTACATAAAATGACGGTGAATTCTGTAGCGGCTTTGTACAGCGACAGTTTCAGCAAATCACGCTCATAAATAATGGTTAGCCTTACAGGTTTAACCGTGGAAACGTTGGCAAATAAATCAGTTGGTGTGTCGGTCGCACAGTGGTTAGGACTCTCGCCGACCATCCATATAGTCCGAGGTTCGATCCTCTGCCGACGCACACCTGATATCTATGGTCGGCCTGCAAAATTTGGGCTACCGATATCCATGCTGAAAATTCCATACTTGTACCAAAAGTACAGTGTGGAATCAAGCTGTAATCAAAAATAAAAATAAATAAAAAAAATAAATTTCTTCAAGTCACATTGTCGATGAAGGTATTTATGAATATGACATTCTAAGATGAAACTATTGCTGAGATACTGAAAAATTGTCTATGTAATAACTTCATCAAAAGTACTTCCTACATATGCAGTTGACTAATGTCTGGTATACTCAAGCCAAAGTCGACAATGCGTGTAGAACTAGGTACCACTTATGTGAACCTGATTACATTGCATGTTTTAAGGATGCTCTGTGGGAACCTGTAATCGATTGTTGTTTGATTTAATTGAAGAAAAAGGAACAATATGGTAACTAAATGTTCTATTCGTGTACATGTTTTGTCAGGTGATTCAGCACTCCGTGATTTATATTTAAAAATCATCTAGTCGACTCGACTTCAACCACTGTAACAGTTTACTTTTTCATCAACTAGGTATAGCTAAATCATTAACCATAGATGAACAAAAATCTATATTAAACCTCTTTACTCGCCTTCCTGTCCCTCTTCCTGGTCTAAGTCAAAGTTTCACCAGTATCACTACTATTGTTTTAATTTTTGACAGTACCTGTGATCCATTTCAAATCTCTTAATGCTTTCTAATAACATTATCTAAAATTAATCTACTTTAACTCTAACCATCGTAAAACCATTTGAATTAATTTTATCATATGTTTCAGGATTTCATCATGAACTGACATCAGTTAGAGAACCACTGAAAATCAGCTGGGAGTACTGGACATCTGTTTCGTCCTAAGTTGGGACTCTTCACAGTACGCACCCACCGGGTTGGAACTCAGGACCTACTGGTTTCAAGGCGAGCTCGTAGACCATTAAGCCCGTGGGACCGGATCCAATGGCCAGCCCATGAATTCCATCTTCTACCAATTCACGACATAGAGTGATTGGTACTAGCGAATGTCGTCGCTGGCGAGTATTTGTCCTCACACCCGACCTGCTCTAACCAAGTGGTCACAAAATCCTACTGGAACCCAGTTAACTATCCACCTGAATACGGCCAGTTGTCGCCAGTGAGCATCAGATTGATAATCAAGTGTTGGTTTGCGGGGATTTGATTGGCTTCAATGGTGATGAAACCCAAACTAGGACGAAACAGCTGTCCAGTACTCCCAGGTTTTCCAGTAGTTCTCTAACCGATGTCAGCTCATGATGAAATCTTGGAACCGATCAAATACCCGCAAACCAACACTTGAATTCTTATTGGTTAATGAGTCGGCGGTTGAATCTCCGTCATTTATGCCAGTTTATGAATGACAGCAGTCCTAGGATGTAATACAAAGGATAGTATATACAAGGCGAGTATATCAGCAAATAAAATAAGGCGAATTCCAATTAGTGATCAGGTATAACAGATTTCAACGACAAGCTAAAATGGAAAACCTTTATAGAAGACAATGATGTATCACCGTACAGTGACTACATACTACCTTAAAAATTCATCAGAATTTACCAAATTACTAAGGTTGTTTTTCATTAGGCGCTTTTCTAAAAGTATATTTCCATAAAGGTTGACGATGCTAATTCTGAACAGCATGTGTACATGCAGTGTGAATAGATAAAAGCTCACCTAATAACCTCATAATGGAGAATTCAGTGGATTTAAAAGCTGGTGTTACAGAAAAAGCTGCTATGGCTAGTACTCATTATGAGCTGTAATAACTCAAAACACCATAGCTGCATAGTTGTGCTTTCATCTCAGGTACACATTATCCCACTACATTAGAGATGAAACCTGTTCCAATGACAGACAGAAATAAACATTTTGTACTTCACTGAAAATGTGAGAAATAGTGAGACATCTGTTCTATAAAGAGGAATTCAGCACTCGACAATGATGTACGAATTTTCACTCAACCACAAGTATTCCCAAACTCAGAAATACACAGTAGAGTGAATGAGAAGGCAGTATCATTAGAAATCACGACTATTACGCCTATAGTTACTTAACACAACCAGTAAATTTTTGGTTTCAGGCATAAAATCTGCGTTTTGAGTGTTTACCACGCAACAATAAAATACTACTGACCAAAAATGTAATCTGTGCTTCGGTGGCATAGCGGTTAGGACACTCACCGACCATACACATGGCCCGGCCGACGAAGCACTCCTAAGCCAGAAATAATGCTGGTAAAGAGGAAAGGTTGAGGCTAGCAACCTCATCCTGTAAAATAAACACTGCTACAGAAACTTCAAGCCACTAGCTTGAAGCCCTATGTTCCAGTGGGGAACGTGAAGGAAAGAAAAAAACTCAATCTACGGAAAGGTCAAATGTCTGGTTCACACATCGTGTCAACACGCATATAACGAACTAAATTTTCGTCATGTGTATCCTGTCAATATCCAGTATAACTTGTTTTTGTTATGTTTTGTGCCAGTACAATGGAGAAATATTCCCGGTGATTATAAACATTTAACACCTATCTGCCTATTTAGTAGTTCAGTCTTGTTCTTTAGAATATATCTTAGCTTTTAAGCATGATACAAATGCAGTTATATTACATTTTCACGAGAACGATTCAAATTCTCTCAGAGCACATGGTGATATATGTGCAGATATTACGGTGTTCACAGATACAGCTACCATCTACTCCTGCAAATGGGGACACTGGTCATTTCTTAAGTGTGACCATGTATTGATATCAATTAGAGAACTA